GAACATGAATCGTTTCGCTCCGCCGACCGCTATGGAATCGATCGAACGCTTTCGTGCGGTATACTCGTACTCATCAACACTGTTGTCCCTATCTTATCCCTCCATCATGGCATCCGGGAATAGGCGTCGAGCCTTGGTCATTGGGGGTGGCTTCTCCGGTCTCTTCGCTGCGCATGACCTTTCGAGTAACTTGGAGGTTACTTGACTGATGCCTAGGAGTACTCCGAGTACACTCCAGGTGTTCTGTGAGCCTTTGTCCATCCCGGTCATTATGAAGCTCTATCATTCACATATCAACATGTGCTAGAGCGCAAGAGGGGTATCAAGTTCCTATGGGGTGAAGTGAAACAGTTGGATGGTAGCCGTTTGGTAGCTCATGTAAAGCCTATGTTCTCTGAGACCACTGAAGAGGTCCCCTCTGATTACTGCATTATTGCAGCTGGTTGTAACTTTGGTGTCTTCCACAAGTGGGGCGAGAGTCTCTGGTTCCCGACCGTTCACGAGGATGCTCGACCTGAGGGGTCTTGGCCTCATCGATGAGAGGTTCATCGAGGGACGGGGTAAACGTATTTTTGAAGAGCATGAGAAGCTGAAGACTTTGAATAAGAAGAAGGCATCAGTTCTCGTTGTTGGTGCTGGTTTCATAGTAGGTGTCGAGTAGGTCACAGAGTAACAGTACTACTTTCCCAATCTCAAGTTACATATTATTGATTTCCTACCCAAGTGCCTCGGTCCTCTACCGAACTCTGCTGCTGATGATTGCAATCACTACATGAAGGAGAAAAGTATCAAGGTTACTTACGGTATCAAGTATGCTCCTGATGATCGGGCATTTTTCATTAAGATAGGTATGAATGGTAAACCGGAATGCAAATTTATTTGCATTGGTGTCAAGGCACATACCTAAGGAGACTCTTACTGGTTATAATCTACTAGAGAGTGATAAGAAAGAGAAGGATGTTAAGAAACGTGGTCCTGGTGGTGGTGGATGGATTCGTGTTAACAATAACCTACAAGTCACTCAGTTGAATGATGATGGTTCTGAATCGCTATTCGGTGGAGGTCACATCTTTGCCGTTGGTGATTGCAACTTTTCGTCACACTTGGTGGACATGGGGTGCTGGTATGTTTGCTACTTCACTCGGTCCCAATGATGCTTGCTTCGTTTTTGGGTGCGAAATCTACTCCTGGCACTGGTCATATGGTCCAATGGGGCAAGGCTTCAGCTATTCAAAAGGGTCGTATAGAGTCTACTAAGACCAATGAATGCAAGAGAGGCCTTCTAGGGAGTTCGGGTTGGTATTTTGTTCATCATACTCCTTGTATGACCTAGAGATTCAGCGTATTACTATCGGTTGACACGGAGTGACCAGTCAGTAATGATCGATTGATGCTATTCAAGATTGTGGCGCCATTAGTTTTTATCTGTGGAATTCAACATTCCTGATTATTTTCTAACGAGTCAGTATCGTGTTATTACAAGTTGATGTCTACGATGAGCGATGTGTCACAGGCGATACCACTACAATTGGTATCTGTCTTCTTTCGGATCGCTAAACTATATGGTACGAGATTGCGTGCTCACCCTTACATGAGTGGCTGCGTAAATTGAGTGCCTGACAACCTAGCTGTTATTCAATGATGATACCAGTAATACCAGTTCTGCTACTGAAATCTCATGTAGAGAACTCTTACCATTCATCTCTCATCGCACTGATACACAATGAATTGAAATGATGATACCAGTAATACCAGTTCTGCTACTGAAACCTCATGTAGAGAACTCTTACCATTCATCTCTCATCGCACTGAATCGTTGAATTTCTTATTATGCAAATAATCTTTGATTCCGCCAAAGCCCAAAAGAAAATGGGAGTGAGTTGGTAGAGTGTTGCCTATTCGCATACAAAACATGCATCGTGAATATATCGGCTATATCTGTGATTAATCACTGTAATAACGAAACATTAGACGTAGTGAAACGTATCTTAATCACCAATACCTCTTCAATCACACTGAATCTCTTCGTCACCACCATCCTAGAATAACAACAAAGTGGACATGAAAAGGAAGTGTAAATAGGAATACCTCAGATGTTGTGTCAGTAGGTGATGGCTCGGGTGGAAGATCTTCTTCAGCTTCAGCAAGACACTAAGAAATACTATTAACAATAGATAAAGGTAACTACTACTAATACTAGTACTACCTCTGGCTTCTCCCATACACTTTCGCCAGTAGTATCATTATTGTAATATACCAATCCAGTATCATCAGCAGTATACTCAGTCCAATGAGTATGGGGTAACTTATTAGGAATGATGATAAGTAGCAAGTAGTATATGAGTATACTACCTTTTTGCCATATATACTAGGGGATCTGTCGAATACTGTACCAGAGAGATTCTCATGCAGTTTTTCACAGGTCAACTTTGCATGAACAGGTCTATTGGCATCTGAATGTTAACCCATCATGACATAGTTATGATGACCACTATCTACTCTTGAAAACGAGCTTGCCGTTCATCTCATTAACACATTCCTCAGCCTCTTCCTTACTAGAGAAGGTCACAAAGGCGACACCACGATCTGATTGTTGACCATCCCGAACATAACACAACCCAAGGATCTTCCTTGGTTGACTCCTTTCCTCTGTAGAGGATCCTAATTCATAAGCATTGAGTTGGAAGGTAGAGCTGGTGGCATCATTACCGATGCCCCTGAGTTCTCTCTTCAATCTCTCATCCGATACAGTCTGCGGTATGCAGCCAATGAAAACTTTATTCTCGGGAACTCCTAAAATCAATAAGCCTCAAGCTGTTAAGATCCCTATGCTTCTTGGATTCGACTGATAACGATAAACCTATTACTACTACTACCATCAACATTTATTTCAGTACGTTGAACCTTAGTAGGAGGTTCCTGCACTTGTCCCTCTTCTGTATTATCCCCTTCTTGTGATCCATCATTATCTATACTCGATGATGAGCCTGTCACCAATACTAAGCCCTGCCGCCCTTCAATCCCTCCTATTACTATCTACTACAATTGCTGCCTCAGTAGTAGTTCCTGTAGGGGCGGCTGCAACTGCTGGTGATTGCACCTAATAATGATGATGATAGTAATGATAATGAATGATGGATTACCTCTGAGACATCAAGTTCAACAACTGCCTCTTCAGACGGTGGGAGGTTAGATGACATTCTCACAAAGCTCAAGTGCTGATCATCATCAACTTATCATAGATTCCGTCACACGCCACGAATATACGTAGCATCTTGGACCGAGTTGACTAGATGTTGTGTTTGAGCCTATTGCCATCATCATACTAGTACATGCTGTACGGGATTATCTTCGTAATGTGGGTATAAGTACAAGGTTCATTAGTGGACTGATGAGAGGTGTTACCGCAAAGGGCTTTGGGAAGTTGATCAGGCAACTCTTTTAATAGTAGATAAAGGGAACTATATAGGAGTATAAAGAGGACTAACTCAGGCGGACCTTTATTAGTCCCTACTATCTCAGATCAGCCGCCTTATATGATGTAAGGTCTATCATCAATCTTTATTATTTATGATGGAATAATATAGTAGTAATTATGACAATACTTGGACAGCATAGCTGAGCATCGAGTTGCATAATAACAGTCCTTGCATTAGCAACGGTAATGTGGACTAAAGTTAACATGAACAATACTATTAACCCAAGATTATTACCACACAGAAACACATGTTCATTCATCTCGTAGGACATCACTTCCTTTAGTACTCTCCTCTGCTTTACGTTTCAACCATGCTTTATATTCAGCTCGACGAGGATTCCTACCAGATGATGTGTATACTACTATAATATGGATGATAATAATAATGAGATGATACATGAGATAGGCCTTATCATCCTCATCCTTATCTTCATCCTCAGCCCATGCTCCCGATAGATCTGTCGCTATGGACTTCTCTTCTTTGAAATCAAACTTGGCCAATTGAGCCAGTTTAGCTTTTCGAGCATCGCTGGCTCGTTTCCTTGCAGCCTCTAAAGCAGCACGTGATCTTACATGTACCTACAAGGTACATCGCTCATCATCCAACACAACATACCAATGATAATCAGAACCTTTATGTTATAGGTCCCGGTCCATGTCTTAAAGGGCAATGTTATTCGAACCTAACATGAAACTTAGAAATATCATTACAACAGTTTGATGACCTCATGTAAACCGGAATAGTGTATACCACTGGCGGCGGCATGGGGTAGGATATCCAATTGACTAGGTAATAGATCCAATTCATGTCTGTAAGTAGGAGTATGTGTAGGAGGAGGAATGTATTGAACTCGATGCTACTGTTTGCTTAAAGCTTCGAGAATATCCAAATGAGTCAGAGACTCCGCCAAGGGTTCCTCAGAAGTAACTCCTGATCCACCACCGCCACCACGAGTTTCACATATAAATTGAAGACTTATGTGTTGTATCCAATCAAATGGACGTGACTAGACGTAACATGAAAGAATGACAATGACAATGACATCCTATTAAAGTACGATTAATAGTAGTACTTCTCCTTTAGCACCAACTCCAATGATAGTAGCAGCTGTTTTATCTATAAGGCTTGGGTCAGCATACATATCAACATTCTCCCACAGACTAGCATACACAGCTTCTTTCTGCGGTACCTTCCAACTTTAAATGATTCATTTGTTTTGTTGATAAAGATTACTGACCAGGAAATGACGAGCTCGTCCTCGACGTACCATAACTATCTCACCTTTTACACCCAGACGAGGTACATCTTTTAATAATATTACCGGTATCTCTTTACTCACGAACTGATGTTGAGCTCCAGTATAGGCTGGATATCCAGTGGCTGAAGTCTTTATGCGGAAATCATGTAAGAATAAGCTGTAAAAGATAATGATGGAGTATTGATAAAAAGTTATTACAGAGGTAGACTGCGACGTAACATCCCTCGTCCTCCTCTTCTTCCTATCATATTAGCTGCTGCTGCTGCTACCATTGATAATACCAGTGATGGAGTATAAGAAAGTATTCCTTGGGGTTAGCCAATGATGATACCCTTGGTATTATTGATCAACTCAAGTATGAATATGTTGAATGATTGGTAGTAGTTGTAATGATAATAACTACGACTGATGACTAATAGTAGCAGTAGGTATGATAGTACGAGTAGTAGAACATACGGAAATGCTCTATCCAACTATCATAGGCTTATATCAACAATAACAACAACATAACCAGCTAAGAATGTTCACCAATACATAGCTGCTAAATTGATGTAGGCGACGAAAGAACATAGTAGTAGATATGATGCCATACGACGGAGGTAGTATTAGATATACCGATGCTGCTGCCCTGAGGCCGCCAAGCAGCAGCAGCAGTCAAGATGATGATAAGTTGGCCGCCAACTTTAATAAAAACTACTACTTCTTACCACTCACTATCAATCTAAGAGGCAGCAGCAGCAGTGCTTAAAATCATCTCTTCATTGTCTTCTTCTTGTTGTTGTTACTGTCAGTGTTAGTGTTAGTAGAGCTAGTAGTAGTATTAGTAGCCACTAAACCTGGTGGTGGAGTAAGATGCTCATTTCCCTTCTGCTTAATACCAAGACCTAGTAGCATGAACAACAGTATTATCATTATCGGCAGTATTATCAAGTAGACTTACCTGGCGGAGGTCCTGAGAAGTCCGAAGAAGGTGATGATTGTGGTAGACGATTCTTTCGAGTAGTAGTAGTAAGATTATCACCATCCCCCAAGTCGAAGGTCATAGCATTCCATTGATCATACTGACAATAATAATAATATACAATGTTTCCTCCAAGGATTACCTCGGTATCATCTTCACCATCCCTGATACCCACATCTTCCTCATGAGCAACATCATCATGATGATGATCATGCGCATCTCCATCAGCAACAACAGCAGTAGTTCTATTACCGATTCCAGGAGGAGGAGGAGGAGGGGCATTACTACTGTTGCTACCCATCGATGCTTCTCGATGTTGTTGTTGTTGTTGATCTAACTGTTTGGGTCTAGTATTCGGAGCAGCAGCAACAGCAGATGCCACAGAGCAAGAGGTAGAGTCAGGAACAAGAGTAGTTGTTGAAGGTACTCCAGTAGCAGCAGCACCACCACTAGCAGCAGCAGCAGTTCCAGTGGTCCACGCTCCTGCATTAGATCCTAGACCTAAATAGATATATATCCTACGTAATGCTACTACTCCTTCTTATGATTGTTGTTGACTGTACCTGTAGTCCCCCATGCCTTAGCTGCTGCCTGAGCTGTAACATCAGCTTGTGTACCAGTAGGAAGATGTAATCCACTGAATCCACTACCGAAACCACTACCACCACCACTACGATTAGGAGGGGCATCTATGATAATAATAATCAAGTATAATAATAAGGAAAGATAATACTTACCAACACCCTGACGATGACGACTCTGTTGCTGTTCTAGATTACCAAGGACCTATAATATCCCAATATGAGCGAGAGTAACAACATCATCAGCAACAACAACAACATGCTACTACTACTACTTGGTCCAAATAACGTTCCGATACATGCACATGTTGTTGTTGAGATGATGATGATGATGATTGAGTAGTAGTAGTAGGTAGTTGGATAGTAGTGGGTGTATTAGATATAATATCATGATTATAGGCACATCGATCACCATAAGCACACCTACCATTACACACTATAAAGATAGTAATAGTTGTTGAAGAACGAACCTGCCAATCTGATGGAACTTGCATGGCAATGTCTTGGCCTTAGCTCGACCCATAGCCATGGCTTCTTGTTGACAAGCTATCTGAGCAGCCATCAGACTCTGTTGATTAGTGGGGCCGCCACTTCTTGTTGCTGAGGCTGCTGATGACAATGGAGTACTTGTAGTAGATACCTAATAGTAGTAGTGATAGACTGAATAAGCATGAGACTCATTATAACCTGAGGTCTAGCCCCATGCTGATCAATAGAAGATGGTGGTGGGGGAGTGGCAGTGGGAGTGTGACGTTGTTGTTGTTGTTGTTGTGCAGCTTGTTGTGCAGCAGCTTGAGCAGCAGCATGCTGAGCTCCCTGTCTAGCTGATGCTGCAATAGCTTGAGTAAGACCAACAGAACCTGTTATCTGACCAGATTGGACCTACGACCATCATCATTATTATCATAAGCATCACGATCATAATCATCATCATCACCAACCTGAGCTGATAGTTGTTGTTGTAATTGTGCTATCATAGCTGGAGGTAGATGACGAAGTGGTTCCCTTCCAGTAGAAGTATGTACATATCTAAGAGTAGTCATCATGTCCAACAATGTGATGATGATGATTAAGACTACTATTACCTGCACTTATCCCCAAACTTACACCAACCAAAGGTAGTGAAGAATGGGCAGGGCGTAGTAGTAGTAGCTGATGATGATGGTGGTAGAGCATTAGTTACTTGAGTAGTAGTCGAGGGAGATGGTGTTGGAGTCGGTGTAGATCCTGTAGAATAATAATGATTAAAACTTGGTTTTATACGCTTACCTTGTTGTTGTTGTTGGAGAGGTACTTGAGTTCCCAACTTGTTTGCCAAAGCTGAATACTTGGTCATCATCATTATTATACTATATGTTACGATTACCTTGTATCATACCACCCCATTCCTGACCAGTAGCTTGTTGGGTCTTCCCTTCTTGATGTGCGGCAGCAGAAGCAGAAGCTTGAGCCGCCGTTCTTGCTGCCTGAATGCTTACTTATACTACTATCATTAGTGTTAATGATGATATATACCTGTTGTTGTTGATGTGCTGCTGCTGCTGCAGTATTAGTAGTAGCAGCTAACTGAGCAGCCTGCTGTTGTTGACGAGCCTGTTGTTGCTGTTGTACCAGTAACTGTAATTGTATCTGTTGTTGTCTTGGTAGATTAGCCATCAATTGAGCTATACCCGATTGGGTAGCAGCTGGATTACTACCTAGATAATAATAACGATAATACTACCATTATTACAATCATACGAGTACTACTATTACTTCTACTTAAGACCTCAGCAATAGACTTGGATATATTAGACATACCACTAACTGATGATGGTGCTGGAGAAGATGATGATGACTGAGTACCAGGCCGTTGCTGACTCTGGCCAGCGAACGCTGTTGCCTGAATAACAACAATAACGGTATTGAAATGATGATGATGATGATGTTGTTGTTGTTGTTATGTATATAACCTGCTGTTGAGCAGCTGTGATCTGTTGTTGTAATAACTGCTGAGTACTGGTAGTGGCAGTATTAGTAGTAGGTTGTTGTTGGTTTGGTGTTGTGGTTGTAACGCCAGATGATGGAGTAACCTAACATGAATCTATATACATATACATCACTATTACTGGTACTACTGTAGATGCTTGTTGTTGTGGCTTGCTCTCAGTAGGTTGAGTATGGTCATCATCTACTTTAGAATCATGTAGAATCTTAGTAAGATCAAACGATGATGATGCCATCATCTCATCATCTTCTGTTGCCTGGTAATAATAATAATAACAACAATATGACAACATCATATGCTTACCACATCTTCCTCCTCTTCATCATCATCATCATTGTTGCCTTCTACCTTAGCCGTTAACTTACGAAGTTGCTTCTTCAAACCAATAACCTAGTAATAGATTATGATGGATGAATATATCTAAGTAATGATGATACCTGGGAGTGATTCTCCTTTAACTTCATCTCACATTGTTGTAGAACAAGAGCTAGATCACTACGATATAGTTGAGTAACTCTGAGGAGGAAGAGGAAAGTATGAACACCAGTGATAAGCAACAATAAACGATGATTAATACTATTCTAATAATTACCTTTGTTGGACATCAGATTTCTCCTTTTGCCAAGCTGTAAATACAGTATGTTTAAGTTGAGCTAATTGCTCAGTATTCTGCCCACATCTCAATGTCAACTCTTGTTTCAATTGTGCCATCTTCCTCTTTACATCCTCTATATCATTGTTCATACTCTGCTGTTTCTCAACAACATCAGTAACAGCACGTGTAAGCTCACCATGTTTAGCATGATAGGCTCTAAGGACCTAAGAAGTGGTATCATTACTACTAGAGTATGATAAGACTACTACTAGTACCTCATCATTACGGACTTTAGCTATCTTAATCTGTCTAACAACCTCTTGCATCTCATTCATCATCCTAATATTATGTCGTTTAATAAGATCCTACACCATTATGATGATGATGATCAACCTTCACTTGTTCATACCTGTTCCATACTAGTACTCCTCTTTTCTACCTCTTTCATCAATGCTGGCCATACCTACCAATAAGGATATCACTATTATGTCAAGATCGAGATGAGTATATCACCTTATTAACTATAGCTTGTAAATCAGGATTATCCATACTAGGTGGGGATGCTGCTGACTTTACCGCATTCTCCATACCATCCTCATCATCATGCTGTTGCTAAAGCTAATAATAACAAGAATAAGTATATTATATATTACATGATCTTCCTTGTG